TGCTGTCAAATCCTTCCCAACGAGTCCTGGGCTAATTGGCTGTCAATCTGGGAGGTTTCTTGTTCCATTTTGAAAATGTCAAAACCAAGGCTGAGGCTTTGGCAGAGATGGCCCAGGTGGTGCCACATGGCCTAGAAGTCTGGGCTCTCTCTCCTCTTTGAACCGCCTTAAAATCTCCTGTCCTGGAGCTGGCCTTGCCTGAGTGCAGCTCATGGTCCAGGGCAGTCACCCCGGAGATGTACATGGCTTCCCCCGAGACCTCCTTTTCACCTGTTCTCATGTATATTTGATTGGTTTGTACTGAGATTTCCTCCAGAGCGAGATCAGGTGTTCTGCTTGGCGTGCACAGTCTGGGTGTTCGCTAAGGCTCTTGGGGACTGGTGGCCAGTCGCTGTTAAGAGGAGCAGCTGGAGATGCAACAGGGTGAGGCAGCATCTGGAGACCCATGGTCTGTTTCTAACCACTGGCAACCTCACTGTTCCCCCTTCTTCATCTGTAAAGAGGAGGCTAGTGTCTGAGTGCTAAAGGAGATGCTGTGGACTGGGGGCATAGCTCCCAGTGGAATAGAATGTTACCTTGTTACTAGTTGGGTTGGGGGTTGCACCCAGGGCCTTGTGCATGGTGGTATGTGCTCTACCACTGAGCTATACCCACAACTCAGCAATTCTCAAAAATTGGTGAGGCATGGTGGTGCATGCCAACTTAGAGTCCAGCAACTGGGGAGGCTGAGGCAGGAGGATCGCAGGAACCCAGGAGATCAAGGCCAACCTGGGCAACACAGCAAGACCCCTGCCACAAAAGCAAATGTTGAAAAAAACCTATATTAACCATAACAAACTGAGCGGGGAATATCTTCATATCCTAAAGCTTACTTTCTTATTGGTAAATAATATAACAAATTTGGAATAGTTCAGTTAAGTTGGAATAAAATTGTTTACGAAAGTTTTATGATTCCTACTAAGAGTTAACCCCACTGTAAGAGTCAGGCAGTGAAGAGGATGGGCCCAGTAAACCTGGCACATTGCGTGCACAGCCGCCTCCTGACAGGCACTGGGCCCTGGGCATCTGCACATCTCTTTGTTAATGGAAGGAGACAGGGGTGCAGCCCCCACCCAGGGCTCTCAAGCTGGAACAGCCTCTGGGAGAGTGAGCCAGGGAGGCCAGGTGGCGAGTCAGGGCCCTGAGAGAAAACTCCGTGTTTCTGAGCTAGTGCTTGAGCTGCTTCTGGCTCTTCCCTTAGCCGCTCAGGGCTGCAGTGACTCGGTGTAGAACTGTCCTTAACCACTGTACCCCCTGGGCCGGGGGCTGTCAGCACACTGCCAGGTGCTCTGACATCTTCATGGATCCATCTTTGTGTTTCTCACTTAATCCCATCTTGAACATGCTGTTAACTCACTCTGCACTTACTGAGCACCTGCTTCATGCCAGCCATTTCTTTCAGAAACTGGGATACATAGGACAGGGAAGAAATGTGGCCGAGATTCTTGTTTTCATGGAACAATGAAGTGGGATATGGGGTGCTAAGAGCCGAGGGGGAAACACACAGGCCCACGTACAACGGGGAGAGAATGTCACGTGCAAGTCAAGGATGGGAGCAAAGTACATGAGGGTGGAATTTGCAAGTGTTTGACCTCTTGGAAGATGGCACTGTGCAGAGAAAAAGGTGCACCTTGTCCATTCAGCACTGAGAGCGCCCATCAGCAGAGGCTGAGGACCACTCCTGCCACTGACTGGTGCAGGAAGGAGGCCACATAAGCTCTGAGCATCAGCTGTGGAGAGGCATCAGGCAGGGCTGGAGGGTGCAGCACTGAGGGCCAGCCACCTCACTGGGGACGTCATCGACTCCAGCCAGCAGGACAGGGACCCTCAGCAGCCATGCCAACTTGCCTGGATGTTTGTTTCCAAAAATGGCGTTTGTGTTGCCATGTACACCAAGTAGGTGAAAATAGCCTGCTCATGTCGTGGCCCCCGCCATCACCTGCTTCTCTTTATATCTCCAACAGGAAGTAGGCAGCACAGCATGGGTCACAGAGCTCCTGCTTCTGCCAGGGCAGGTGAGGCCTGGCCTCCAGCAGACCCCAAGGGGACCTCGGAGCCCAGAAGGTGCCAGAGGAAGACGCTAGCACACAGGGTCTCCTGTGTCTGACACTCACCACTGAGGGTTTTCTTTTTAATTCCGAGAGATGGACTCAGGTCTTTACAGCAACTGGTGAAACCAATTGGCCTCTGCCTCGAGCTGCAGATAAACCAAGCCCAGTTTGCACTTTTTCCTGCTTCTAGGTAATGTTCAGAACCAGCTTGTCTTCAGACAGAGAGGCACTACTTAAAGCCAGGCACTGTGGCACACGCCTCTGATCCCATGACCCGAGACGCTGAGGCAGAGAGGATCACGAGTTTGAGGCCAGCGAGACTTTATCTATCTTTAAATAAAAAAATAAAAATGGTTAGAGGTGTATCTCCGTGATAGAGCTCTTGCTGGGCATTTCATGGGGCCCTGTGTTCAGTCTCTAGCACTGTGCAAAAAAAAAAAAGAGAGACTGCTCAGAAAGCATCAACTACGCCACACTTGGGTGAAGGCTGTGAAGGCTGGCGGGGGCTCCAGACTCCTCGCCACTTCTAGTTACAGCAGGTCAGGTTTTAACGCAGTTGCTGGCTGGTGCCTGCAGGGTCCTAGTTTAACACAGTAGGTCGAGTATCTCTCTGGGTGAAAAATGACATCGTGACCACCTAGGCTAACATCCTCGTTTTAAAATTGAAGAAACATATCCATAAATGTTCAGGAACCTTCCTGAGCTGAGCAGGAGCAGTTTCCTTAGTACCATTTCTGATCTGTGAGAACCGGGTGCTCCTGAAGACTCTCCTTTGCTAGCTGGGCTTTTCTTTTTTTCCCTTCAGTATCAGGATGGAAGCTCTTGGGTTCTGCAAAGGCCTTTTTGCTAGAGATGTCACTTGGGAGTGGAGAGGGCTCTACCACCTACAAGGAAGCTTCAGCCACTGCTGGACCTGGGGGACCCCAGGGGGCACTTGTTCCTAATGTGCTCTGTGTAGCTGACTCCAGGTGACCAGGAGTCGGGGCAGGAGGCCCTGGGGCTGCGTGTTAGCTTGTGCTTCCTGGGGGTGGGGGACAGGCTGCATTGCTACTAAGCTCCTTTCCCCTTGGGCTTCTAAGGCCAAAGCTTCGCCCCAGAAGTCGCCCTGCTCAAGGCTCACCTTTGCTCCCTGTGGCTTTTCCTGACTCTCCTGACCTTGGGCCGTGCCTGTCCTGGGAGGAGTGAGGTTCTCTGTTGCCCCCGTCAGGAAGGGCTCTGGGGGAGGAGGCAGGTGACTGCTGGGGTCAGAACCACACTCCCAAGTGGAGTGGCAAATATAAAGGGGGCAGCATCAGATGGGCTGGTTGTTCAAGGCTGGGCCTCTTCTCTGGCCGCAGCCCGGGAAGGGCACCCCTCCTTAACTCACAGCTGACCCAGGCTCGATACAGCAGCCAGTGAGACCCAGTGCGTCTGGCCCTCTGGGTGCCGAGAAATTGTGAGGCAAGGGGTCAGGCCCCTCTCCGCGGGGACAGTGAGCAGCTTCTTGATGCCCCTCCCAGGAGCCCTGCCCTCCAGGTCTGGAGCCCCTCTTCAGCACTTCCACCTCATGGCTCTTGGGTTGGCCAGAGCTCTGTGCAGTGAAATCTAAATAGTTCCACAACATCACCATGTTTTAATGGGATGAGCTGGGAGACAGCGAACTCCATCTGCCACACACATGCCGCTGAGCGTGGCTCTTGGCAGAGTTCTGTACTAACCAGGCACCTGGCTTCTAAGCTTTTTGGGGGTGGGCAAAGGGAGCCGTTTCTAGATTCTGTCATGCCTCTGGATGACAAGAGGGACGGTGGCCCGGGCTTATCAGCAATGTAACCAGTGCACGGTGCATGCAGAATGGAGTCCCTTCCTGAAAGTAGTCCCCTCTAGGATACTGCAGACTCATGATTTACAAGGACAGATCTTTTCCTCTGTCGAAGCTGGGGAAAAAAAATACATTTACAGAATCACATAAACCTCTGACCATTTATGGTATCCCCATTTTCTGTATCTCTGGATTCAAGAGCTCAGTCCTGGACTTAGAAGGTCACTGAATGTTTGGGTCATGAGGTGGACATACAGTGACACACACTGGTCTTGTTCTCTACCTATCACAGAGAAACTCCAGTAAAAAGACCTCCTAAAAAAATGTCAGGGAGATGGGTACAGTGGCGCATGCTGGTAATCCCAGTGGCTGGGGAGGCTGAGACAGGAAGAAGGCAAGTTCAAAGCCAGCCTCAGCAACTTAGTGAATTAGTCCTACGCAACTCAGCAAGACCCTGTCTCTAAATAAAATATAAAAGAGGGCTGAGGATGAAGCTCAGTGCTTAAGCACCCCTGGGTGCAATTCCTAGTACCTAAAAAACAAAACAAGTCAGGCAACTGAGAAAACAGATTTGTGTAAAATGGATTAATATCAAATTCAATTATCACACACTGTTGAAACTATGCTCAAGGTCAACAAATTTCTCTAAATTCACCATTTAGGAATATGTTCTTTGAGGAATGCTATTTAAAGTTTATGTAATGCAGTACCAGCCTGAGAAACAGCCCTCATCCTATAAAAAAGGGGGAGGGGGAAGGTCTTATCCCAAACTCATCAAATGACATAAAAATGTTAAGGTGACTTTTTGGTTTTGGTATCTGTTATCCAGAAAGTTGTTATAAATACCTTATCTATAGTCTGTCTCCATATATAATAAAATGCTATATAATCTATTTTAATCACCCACATGAGGTTATAAAAACAAAGAAGAGTCACACTGCCTGAATACACTGTAGTCCTGGGGCTGAAGGCCTTGTCTTTCCAGGGGTCCCTGCAGATCACATTTCTTCAATGCCTAGGATTTGCTGTGGATAGTACCTGCCTTGACCCCAGCGATTTAACAGCCACTCACCAAAAGACATCACTGTTTTACAACAGGAACAACACAGAGGTATGACCAAAGCCATTTTATTTTTTCCTACACAAATTTTAAAATACTTTAATGGAAAACACTGAGTACCCATCATGTCATCCTGAATGCCGCAGCACCTCGGCTTCTACACACGTGGCAGCCGGGTCAAGGCCCAGCTAGCAGCATACACTTCTTCATGGTCCTTCAGTAGTTTTGCATGTATAGAACCTCCCGTTTTGCTTTAGCAAACAGCAACATGATTTAAAATTCTCACAGTTCCTGTATGACACCTAAAATCCAGTCCTATATTTATTAATAGAGTTAGAAAAATAAAAGCCTTAAAAATTTCATGGTATGAGTTCATGTATTAATCACATAATCTCTTTAACATAAGATTATTTTTAAGACTCGTTTACATAACAACCTCTGGTTTAATTTGAAAGACGTGACTTGAAATCTAGTGAGATCGTTAGGTCAATGTACATGTATGTCATTTACCTGACTTAATTTTTACTGGCTGGGGAGAGTTAATTCCCACTGTCCACTGGATGAATGACTTAAATATTAATAAATACACTACAGTATTTACAAGCATTCTCACATACTCTGACACTGACTGGAAAGTCAAGCCACAGGAGGGAAGATTTCCTGACAACGTGACCTCATGGCAAATGGGACAAAAGGAAGCAGCACTCAGGGATGAGAGGAGGATGAGACGAGGGTGACCGTTCAGATGTGCACAGTGTTCAAAACGCGCTGGATGACACTGAGGCCAGCATGCTTCTTGTTGGTGTAGAAGTCAGAGGGGCCCAGTGGGCAGTCAGGACAGAGGAAGGTGCAGAGGGAGGGCATGCCAGGAGCCTAGGGGTAAGAGTCAGCCTGAGGAAGATACCTCCTGCAGCCTGCAGGGGGCGGCACACATCCCAGGGCTAATTCAGAATCCTTCTTGGCAGCCCAGGTGATGCCTACTGGTTTTGGTGGTTTCAACCACATGCCATCCATCTGACCTCTGTGCACTTGGCCAAACCCATCCCTGCTGCTGAAGAATCTACACCCTCACAGCCTGCTAAGGGGTGACCGTGATGCCCGGTCATCCCATATGAGTAAGTGAAGGGACAAGGGGTTTAACCAGGTCACTGCTTTGTGAACAGGAGTAAAATCCTCGTCCTGGGCTTTGTTTCTTGTGTTGCACACACAGTAACTAGTTACTGCCCTGCATGCGAGTGCACACTGTGTGAACTCCATCTCCGTCCCTTGCTCTCCTTGGGACCTGCCTGGTAGCTGCTTCAGAAGCTCACACCCAGGGCCACCAAAGCAGGTGGCCCCACCTAACTGTCTGGAATGTGAAGTTCAGAGTCTCTTGGAAAATTGCATAAGCAAGCTTCCCTGGCGTGATTTCTAAAGCTCTTTAAAAAAAGACTTGAACATGGCTGAAGCAGCCAGCAGCATGTTCTGGGGACCCGCTTTCACAAGCAGCACAGACCAACTGTTAACATGTATTATTTAGTCAACTGTTAAAGTTTATTTCATAAGTATCAGTAATTTAAAGCCATTTACTAAATTGTAAATTTCAATCCTTTAAAAACTACTACCAGAGCAGTTCTGAGGTATTACTGTTAACTTAATATGGAAATGTGGCTTGAAATGTGACTGCCGTGCCCGCAGCTCCCTAGGCTGCTGGGGTGTGACCACAGACGCGATCTACAGCTTTCAGGAAATTACTGTGCACGTGCATTAAGTGACTTTCTGAACGTTAATGCTGATTTGGTTGGCTGGTCACTTCTAAGCATACCAAAATCATAAAGGCTGGCCCACAGAGGGCCCTGGAACTGGGAAACCACCCTCCAGGCCTCCTTCATCCAAACCCCAGCCTGCACTCAAGTTATCTACCAGGAAATCAGTGCAAAAAGCATCCAAAAATCTTGCCTGTCAGCAGGTTAATTTTCATATAATTTTAAAAGAGCTAGACATTTTTCTTTCAAAATTCATTTATAAAAATAAATTTCAGTTTGAGACCTTAGGTACCAAATTGTAGCTTAATTTAGTTGTGATGGCTGCACTATAAAGTCATGAAAAACGCAGCTGAAAATGCTGAGCCCCAGCTCCTCCTCCTGGCACCCTCTGTGGTCACAGCCACTCCAGGGCTGACCAAATACCCTCAGCTGCTTGAGAACAGTTTAGCCTTCCTCTGTCCTGAAACTCCCACAGAACTGTCATTCTCAGATCCTCATGACGACACCCAGTAACTGAAATACCCTCGTGATGGGGAAGGAGGCCTGTCACAGGCTCAGCAACACCGATGCAGGCGCCAGGACAACGTGGCCACCTCGAGGCCCCGCTCCCTCAGATGCTCTGCACTACAGTGCCGGCACAAACCTGAACCTTGGAACAATGACGATTTCAGTCAGCTGGACGGCATCAGCAAGTCCCTCAGGTGTTGTGCTGAGACGATGGACAGCCTGGCCCGCCATCACCAGGCACCCTGGACAGGCACACTGTCAGGTGGAACTGCCAACGTGCCTTCCTGCGCACAGCCCTGCTGCCATCTCTGTTGGACTGACTACTTGCGGAGCAGCTTCTGCCTCACCAGGATCACTGGAGGGGCGGCAAGGAACTGGACTCAGCAAGGTTCCGGCCACCACATCCACACACACAAAGCAAATTCCAGAATACTGTTCTCTCAGGGCCAATGAGCAGGTGGCTGGCCTTTCCTATTACCAGTCGAGGGAACTCAGCGTAGAGCCTGTGGGACAAGGTGATGCAGCAGGAGTCTGGTCCACTGCAAACTTAAGCCTGTTTAGTCAAACCATGGAAAGGAGCGGCCCGGTCAGCATCCTCGGACATGGCTGCCCCAACTCTGCACACTGAAGCCAGTGGAAGGCACGGCTCAGATCTCACTGATAGTCCTCTCTGAAGGACAGTACTCCGAGGGGCCAGGAGAGGACACATAGAAGGATTGTGTTTTCCTTTTTAACCGGGCTCTTTTGTTGGCCAGCACCAGGCTGCGCCGGCTGGAGCTGATGATTTCCGAGATGAACTTCTTGCAGTCCACACACACCTCCATGGTGCTCCAGTCCTCCATGAGCTCCTTGGGAAAGTGCGGCTCTTCATCCGACCTGTCCACAGACTTAGACTTTGAGGAGAACCTGGGAAAAACCAGAACCACTCAATATTCTTACTTATTTTTCCACTGTAGTACTGAGGACATTGGTAAAAAGCAACTATTGTTGCCAGAACATGGGCTGGGGAGTGGCCTAATCAGGTCCTTCCAGAGAGGAACTTCTCACTGGAAACAGATTTAAAAATATTTTTCAGTGAAGAAACCGGGAAACATGTTTCATTAAGAAGGAACAGAAATAGCTGGGCACACACCTGTCACCCCAGCAACTCTGGGGACTGAGGCAGGAGGGCTGCGTGTTCAAAGCCAGCCTCAGCAACTCAGCAAGGTCCTAAGCAGCTCAGTGAGACCCTGTCTCTAAAAACATTATTAAAAAATGGCTGAGGAAGTGGCTCAGTGGTTAAGTGCCCCTGAGCTCAATCCCTAACACA